TCATATCTGAAAATGTTCTCATCTAACTCAAGTTTACACAAATTGTTCTTATCTTGTCTTCTAGTGGTTACATAGTTTTGAGTTTTACATTTAGTTCTGTAATGACCCATATTTTAGTTAATTTTTGTATAGAGTATGAGGTATAGATCAAAGTTTAATATTATTGTCTTTATGATAATTATTATTTTACATTTGAATATCTAACTCTTCTAGTGTCATTGGTTTAAAAAAACATCCTTTCTCCTTTGAATTACCTTGTTTCAAAAATCAGTCAGCTAGATCTGGGCACAGTGGCTCACACTTGTAATCCCAGCTACTCAGGAGGCTATGGTATGAGGATGGTTTGAGCCTAGGCATCAAGGCCAGCCTGGGCACCAGCAAAAGCCCATCTCTTGATGAAGGAAAGAAGGAAAGAAAGAAAGAAAGAAAGAAAGAAAGAAAGAAAGAAAGAAAGAAAGAAAGAAAGAAAGAAAGAAAGAAAGAAAATCAGTCAATTCTATTTGCATGGATCTATTTCCAGACTCTGTTTTGTTTCACTAATCTCTGTGTTTATTCTTTTAAACTCTTGGTTCCTGTAGTCTTATAACAAGCCTTAAAATCAGGAAACATGAGTCCTGTACATTTGTTCTTCTTTTACAAAATTGTTTGCCTAATCAAGTTCCTTTATCCCATTAAACTTCTTCATATAATAAGGTCTACAGCAGCTGGGCTTGCTGGTTCCAGGTTTGGTGAAATGGCTCTAGTCCAGAATGTTATCATTGATCACGGTTCTGCCTGTTTCTCCTCTTAACCTTCCTTTCCTGAATTTGGAGCTGACAGGATAGCTGTCACAGATCCAAACATCTTCTGTTTTCTCTTTGCAGGAAAAAAAAATTCTGCTTTTTATATTGGGTGAAATCTTTCATTAATGTTCCTCAGTAGACTTTAATATAGGAAGGAGAGGGTGACATGACCAGCTCTAACTGTAAGGAGATCTTGAAAAGCAATTGCCTGACAAGAGGAAAGAGGAGGCACTAATGGCTGAGAGCAGTGCTTCTCAGCCAGGTGTGAGTTTGCTTTCCAGAATTATGTTTGACATACAATGCAAACTGACTCTATTGACAGTCACTTAGAAGCCAAGAGCACTTCTTAACATCTTACAATGCACAGGACTGTCTCCCACAACAAAGAAGTCTCTGGTTGGTCCCAATTAGTGCCAAGATTGAGAAACATCAGCTCAGCCCGACCACAGGTCTTCCTTGGGGCTGGGCCCATTAATGTTCAAACTAAAGAATTTCAAACCAGAAAAGTGAGATCCACCTTGCATGGTTTTTCACATTGACCCCGAGTTGGAAAGAGAGTGTGTAGGTAGGTATACAAATTTTTAAAAATTGAATTTTTGTCATCTGTAACCCAGGAAGGTGGAGATGGAAATCCCCAACAAACCCAATGAAAGAGCTAAGGCACACAGTGAAAGTCTAACCCAGTGAGAAAAGTTAGCTCTCTGTGGTGGAAAATGGGAGGTCAGAAGTCCATCCCAGAAACCCAGCAAGCAAGGCTCCTTCCAGGAGATCAAGGGATCTAAGAAAAGCACGCAAGGACTCAAAAGTAGATATGACGGATAGAAAAGAGCATCTGTTCCTAACAGCATCTTCAGTGCCTAACAGTAGGGCACTGGGATAGTCAAACTGTTCTCAAGTCCATTTTGACTGAGGAGGGACATTTGGAATCGCATCATTTTGAAAATACTGGAGATTAATGTTAAACGACTTTCCTTGGGTTTATGGGTTATGTGTGTGGTCATATGAGCATGTAGAAGCTGGAAAAATAGGAAAAGAGAGGAGAGAAGGGGCTCGGAGGTGGGGTGGGAAGGGAAGAGATGATTAAGAATGTTTGCTCTGTCCTTTGGTAAGCCTGGCTGTCTACCCCAAGTCTACCATGTCTTAGCGGGGTGAACTTAGTCAGTTCAGCTGGGCTCACAGTCAATATTTTCTCATTTCCAAATGTGGATCCACTACACAGCCATGAACACTAAATCCTTAGGAAATGTTAACCATAGTGGTTGGTCTACAGTAAGCTCTATGGTCTATGGTAAGGGAATATTAGGTAATCTATTATGATTGCATCCCAAAAAAGGCTTGAGTTTCATTGTAGTTCTAACCAGTGAATGTGGAATGGTTGTCTGTCTGCAGCAAAAGCAGCAGGCCCATTGCAATTCCTGGAGAAATCTTGGGATCTCTCTCTCTCTCTCTCTCTCTCTCTCTCTCTCTCTCTCTCTCTCTCTCTCTCTGTCTCTCTCTCTCAATCTTCCAAGGGACCTGACTACCAACATATGGAAACCCCGTGACCAAGACCCAGGCTCTCTGGAGCAATGTCTGCATTAAAACTAAATATTCTATGTTCTCAAACAACTTCATAGAGCCTCAGATATTGATTCGAACACTAAGCAGAGAACAAGGTCAAACTGCCCAAGGTAAATGCAATCATTATATACTGCAAACATGTACTAATACAAGAAAGAATACTGATCAACACAGAGAGAATTCTTAGAATCTCATGTGTAGTTCTGCATGAAGGGGTTACAGGAGCTGAGTTTCAGAGGTAGCCAATCAGGGGAAACTATAAACCCAGTGATTTTCCCCAATCCATCTTCTCCTCCTTCCCATATTTAAGCCTTCCTGAATCCTTCAAATTTCTCTTAAATACATCCACCTCTTTCCACATCTGCAAACCTTGTGATGCAAACTACCATTTCTAGTCCAAGTAGTAACTAAAAGCTTTATTAATTTCCTAGGGCTACTGGGACAAAGTACCACACACTGTGTGGTGTAAAACAACAGATATTTATTGCCTCACAGTTCTTGAGGCCAGAAGACCAAATCATGGGATGCATGGGCCAGTCTTCTTCTGAGGGTGCTAGGGAAGGGTCTGTCGCAGTCCTCTCTCCAAACTTCTGGTTGCTCCTAGGTTTGTGGAAGCTTAACTTCAGCCAGCCCTGTGTACCACTATAGCTAACATCCATAATCAATGGAAACATAATCAATGGGATGGCCCTATATAACCATTGTTTACTTAACAGGGGCCCCATAAGATTATATTGCTTAATGATGTCATAGCCATCTTAATCTGTGTAGGTACATTGCGCTGTTCACAAGACAATGAAATCACCTAATGATTCATTCATCAAAACATAGTTCTAAAGATCAGAGATGTAGCTCAGTGGCGCAGTGCCTGCCTGGCATCTGCAAGGTCCTGAGTTCAATCACTGGTACCAAACAAATAAACAAACAAAAACACAGTGTCAATATTAAGCCATGTACAACTGTGTAGATAATTAATTAGGTAGGAAGACAAATAGATATTCTCTCTATATGTATATACAGATGCCCCTTGGCTTATGATGGGATTACAACCCATCACAAATTGAAAAGATTATATGTTTAAAATATATTTAATACACTTAACCTACAGAACATCACAGCTTAGCCTAGCCTGCTGTAAATGTGCTCAAAACAAATACATTGGCCTATAGGTGGGTATCAGGAGAGAGTATTGTATTTTCTATTGCTAAGCCTGAAAAAGTTCAAAATGGAAACTACAATTTCTGCTGCATATGTATTCCTCTTGCATGGTTTTAAATTGTAAAAATCTTAAACTAAACTGTTGCAAATTTGGAACTGTCTGTATTCATCATAATACACACACACTATACACACACACACACACACATACACACACACACATATATATATTATACAGACTCCACCAAAAAATTTGTACACACTTCAGCAGCTTGCCATACCAATAAATGTCAGGAAACTACTGGCCACAACTCTGAGCACCTCTTGTAATTGTAGAGGCCAAAGGTAACTTCTATTAATCTCATGATGTCTCAATAAATTTAGTATCAAAATATTTATAGAAGTTTTTCTTTCCCTGATGTGTACATTTTGGTGGACTCTGTGTATGGATATATCCTTATATAAAGGATATACATAAGGATTTATACATATACATGAAGACTATATCATATATATGTGTACATAGAGAAAGAAAGATATAGGTATAAATAATTGCCTATCTATACTTAGATTTATTTCTATATCTGTCTATCTGTATCCTATTTGTTGTGTTTTTCTGGAGAATTGTAACATATGTATTAGTCTGCATTACAGGAAAAACAAAACCAAGGTGCCTTTTCCTATCCTCAAGCTCAGTCATTCCATAGAGCACAGAATGCTTCTGATTCTGGATGTACAGGGTATTTTTCCCCCCACACAGAGCAATTCCATAGCAGGCAGCAGCTGGGTGTCCTTTAATTCAGTCCAACACTGCCACTGACTACCTGGAGATAGTATCAGATCCCACAGGCTGAGGGCACAGACACCACTGCCCTCCACTTCACACACCAACCACATGCCCCTTTACCTGTGCTTCAAATTGGCTATAAGTCAAGGTTTCTCGATCCCCTCCTTGGGGTCAATTAATTTGCCAGAGTAGCTCATAAAACACATTGAAATATTTTACTTATGTTTACCATTTGTTAAAAAAGATATCACAGGTCGAGCCTCCCTAATCTGAAAATCGGAAATCCAAACTGCTACAAAATCTGAAACTTTTCAAGCACCACATGAAACCACAAGTGGAAAATTCCACACCTGACCTCATTTGGTGAGTTCTAGTCAAAATGCAGCCACACTAAAAATATCGTATACAATTACCTTCAGGGTTAAATGGAAAGTGTATATAAAACATACATGAATTTTATGTTTTATTTGGATCCCATCTCCAAGATACTTCATCATGTATTTGTGAATATTCCCATATTTTTAGAAATTTGAAATCTGAAATAAATCTGAGTTCCAAACATTTTACAAAAGAGATGTCTTATCTATATACCTTTGATAAAAGAAAAGAGACTAATGAAAGAAATGCATGGGGCAGGGATGGAGGAAGGGGCACAGTTTCTACCCCCTCTCTGGGCAGCCCCTCCATTAACCTTCACATGTTCAGCTACCAGGAAGCTTTCCAAATCCTGACTTGGATTTTAATGGAGCCTTAATTACATAGGCATGATTGGTTAAATCATTGGGCAGTGGTGACCAGCTGAACTTTCAACCCCTCTTCTTCTCCAAGAATTTGGAAGATGGGCCTGAGAGTTCCAATCCTCTAATCAAGCCTTGGTCTTTGGTGACCTGGCTCCATCCTAAAGGTACCAGGGACTGGCAGCTGTCATCAGTCAACTTGTTAATGTAGAAAAGCCATTCTGTATCACTCCAGAGATTCCCAGGATTTTAGCTGTGTGCTGCAAAACAAGGAAGACACAATATGTACTTTACCATCACAATTATTGTCTCTGTGTGTAGATGCACACATACACACACATACAAATAAAACAATATACACTAACATATAATATACATAATATAGGTGATACATACATGAGAGAGAAGACAGACAGACAGACAGACAGAAACAGAGACAGAGATACATGTGAAGGAATTGGCTCACTGAAGTGAAAGGACCAGCAAGTCTGAAATATAGGGTGAGTAGGGGTCAACAGGCTGTAAACTCAAATGTCAGTGTCAGTGGAAGGCTGCAGAGTTCAGAATTCTTAGAGCAGCAGGCTGGAAACTGAGGCAGGGTTCTGCACCTCAGTTTTGAGGAGAATTCTTCCTCAGTGGCCCCTTTTTCTTCTCTTCTCAACCTTCTTTGATTCATTCTCCATGGGCAGTGACAATGCATTTTAAAATGCAGACAGGATTATGTCATGTTTCCTTGGAGTATCCCAATCATTCCTCAGTACTTACCAAGAAAAATCCCCACCCTGACTCTCATGCTGCTGCCCTGTCCTGTAAACTCAGGCCACATGGAGCTGCTAGGACTTCCATCCATCCAGCTTGCTCCACTTTGAGGGCTTCACATGTACTCTTCCCTGTGTTGGATTCTCTTTCTCTCCCCCCGCCCCCTCTGCAAATGCTGCTTCACTTTTTAGTTTTGAGTCTCCTCAAGTCTCAGCACAATCGCTACCATTCCCCCACCTCCTTTCCAGGAGGATCTCCCTGAATATTAGTCAAAGGTCTCTGAAGAAACACAAGGACAGGATCTCTCCATGCATTTCACCTGATTGTGGAGGCCAGGTTATGAAGATAGAGAGGTCCCAAGATCTCCAGTCAACAAGTGCAGACTGAGGAGAGCCCATGCTTCAGTCTGAGTACCACAAGCACCAGTGTCCCAGCTCAAACAGTATCTAATTAGATAAGGCCCACCCACACTGGTGAGAGGCATCTGCCTTATGTAGTGTACCATTCAAATGGTAATCAATCCAGGAACACTCTCACAGACACACCCAAAATGATATTTGATCAAATATCTGGCACCCCATAGCCTAGTCAAGTTGACACTTAGAATTCACCATCATATTGAATTTTTCCAATTTGTTTTTATTGAGCCAAGTATGGGGAATGCCAAAGCTAGCACAGGAAAAAAGATATAAGCCTGAGGTTAAGGTCCCTAAGACGTCAGAGGGCATGAAGTTGGCAACACCAGGAAATAAATGATGCAGCCTAACATTTTGAGTGCAATGAAATTTGAAAACTCTTGACTCAAATACACAGGAAGGATACCTTCCACCCATGTAGTCATTTGGATACAGTCTCCCTAGCAAAGCTGAGGCTTTTCTCATGAAGATGCTGAAGAAGGAAGGATAGATAGCCTTGAATTTCTTCAGTCTCGCTCCACATATCTGCTCCAACCACTTCCTGACCAGGAAGCACCTGCAGGCAAATTCTCTCTTTCCTGCCCCCCTTCTCCCCTCTCTGCCCTCCTTCTCTCTCTTCACCCTTCTCTTCTACTTTTCTGTCTCTCTTCTCTTTACTTCATCCATTCCTTCTTTTTCTCTTTTTCATTTTGATTCCTTAGTTCATCCAAGCAAAGCTCCAGGAGACAAACCTGAGGGTCTGTGTCTTAGTTACTTTCTAATAGCTAGGACAAACTATCCAACACACACAATTTAGAGGAGGAGAGTTTTATTTTGGCTCACAGTTTGTAGAGGTTTCAGCCCATAGTCAGCTGGCTCCCAGGGAGAGTGGCATGGCAGAAGGGCATGGCAGAGAATAAGGAGGTCATGGCACAGCAGGCAGGAAGCAGGGAGGGATCAAAAGATGAGGGATGTCTACCTACCCTACAGGCCACACCCACAGTGACCCACCTCTTCCCACCAGGATTCACCTCCCAACATCACGCCCAACTATAGACCCATCAGTGGATTAATCCAGTATTACACCCAAGATCCAGTCACCTCCCCAAACCACATGAGGCTTTGGGGGGACATCCTGATATAAACCATAACATTCTGATTTCTTCAAACCTCAAGCCAGAAAACTAAACATAGTCTTTGAGTCTTCCTGAGCACTCAACTCTCCTGGGGCCTTGTTATTTTCCTTTGAAGCTTCTTTCTCACTGCCTCAAGTCTTCAGTCTTCAGTCTTCCTCTTTTGACTACAATGACAGCTTTTAGCGAGCACCCTGATTTCTAGCACCTTACCATCATTTTCCTCCCACCCACTCCAAGCTCCATTTCTTTACTCTTCCAAGTTACACATTCCTAGCAAATCCATTTCCTCAATTGGATAGCCACCTTTCCCCCTTAGGAGCCTGCATGGCTCCTTCTTACCTAGCTTATCATGCCTAATTGCTTCTGCTTAGACTTCAAAGTTTTCTGTGTTCTCATTACCACCTGCCCTTTCAGCATAATCCCTCCAAGGATGAGGCAGGTGGAGTTGGCTAAGTCTAAGTTCTTCATTTGCTTCCCTGGTCTCAAGCCATCTCCAAACCCATTTGTCACCCTTTCGGAAATCACCTTCTTTTCTATGCTCCTCACTTAGTGTAATCCTCTTCATCCACAGCAACATTTTACCTGAAGAACTAACAGAGGATTCTAATCCTTCCCTAGTCTGGACTCTGTGCCTACCCAACAGATTTAATGTGCTTGTCTTGTCTTCCCTGTTCCTTGAAGGTAATGGTCATGACTTTGGCTTTACTTTATCACAGTGTCTGATGCCTAAGAGTCACTTGCCCAACAGGAAGACTGCATCTTGAGTGCAGAGTGGAGCAGCTCCCCACAACCCAGGCTATTCTAGGGGTGGAAGGAGAGGCCTCAGGGTACAGCCTTCCTCTGCAACCTTAGAAGGAAGCAGAGCTTAGTGGGGGACCCCCAGCTCTCCCTCCATCCTGGAAAACTTGCATTTTGTGGTCTTGGCTGAATCATGTAGCTGTGACGCAGCAGGATTACACATGTGCTGCTGTAAAACATGAAATCAGAGTCAGACAGGACCTCCCCTGAGAAAGGCTGCCTATAAATTGTAAAACCTTTAAATGAATAGCTTAGAGGCACAGGGTTGCCTTGGGTTGGGGTTAACTGGGTCAGGTACAAAGAGTTTTATGTTCATAACTTACTGTCCATCTTACTCTTCCTGATTTTCTGAAGTTATTTTTGCTCCAGGGTGAATTTGTATTTGCCTTTCTGACAGTAATCTGTTTAAAGTTGAACTCTTTTAAGCTGCTGGGAAGTGGGAACTTGCTTCATATCTAACCAGATTTTTTTTCTCTCTGATGCATCCATTTCAGACATGTCATAAAGAGTTGGAGGGTTCCATGTACATGTGTGTGTTTTTGTAAGTCCCCCTATGCAGACTATGTAGAAAACTGCTTCAAATTTACTCTTTTTGCTTTACTCTTTTAAATCCCTCAATATTTTTCTTCCTCTTCCTCCTCCTTCTCCTCCACCTCCTCCTCCTTCTTTTTCTCCTTCTCCTCCTTCTTTCATTCCTTAGCACATCCTCTGTTAGGGCCTAGGCTGTTTTTCATGACTAAGCTAAAAACTGAATCCCAGTGGCTGAGAGCCTAGACTACGCTCAGCTAGACATGAGTCCAAGTGCCCAGTTGGTCACTACTAGCTATGGGACTTGACGAAAGCCCTTTAACCTGACTGAGTCTCAGGTTCCACATCTGGAGGTTGGTTCTGACTACAACTTATAACTTAGATTTAATGAGATAATATATACAAGGTGCTACTATTATGCCAGGCAAATAGTTAATATGCTGATATCACCAAATCCTTGGTAGAAGAAAGGTTAGGAGCACAGGCTCTGAGCTGAACTGCTGGGGCTCAAATTCTACTTCAACCTTGGGCAACATGGGAAAGGTCTCAAGACTTCATTTGTTGAATTGTAAAAGGATGTCCATAATTGCACTGTCCTGTTGGATTGTTATAAGGATTAAATGAGCCAATATGAGGGAAATGCTTAGAGTCATACCTGTCACATAGCAAGCAATCAAAAAAACATTAGCTATCAAGATGATAGGAGAGTAGTAAAAAGAGTTCCCAGTTGCAAAGTTGTCACTTTCTAAATAACCTGCTCATAATGAAATTAACTTTTCTCCTGAAATGAAACACACCAACACATCCTTCTGATCACTCCAATCCTCTCCCTTGCTGCAAGGGCACCTTGCCCTGGTTCTTCTCCATGTCTCATTCTGGGAGAGACACTTGTATGCTTTTCTGAATATCTCCATTCTACTTGAGCTGCTCAAACATTTCTCTGCCAGTCTTCAGCATGAATGTAGTGGGCAGGTCTGCCCTATTGTTATAGTTTGGGTGTGGTTTCTGCCCCAAGAGTTCATGTGTTGGAAACATGGTCCCCAGTGTAGCAGTGTGAAGAGGTGGTAGGACTTTTAAGAGGCAGGGGTACCTTAGGTTATTGAGGGAGTGGCCTTAGAGGGGATTACTGTAGTTCTGATGGGTCATCAGAGTTAACTCCCACTACAGTGAGTTGTAATAAAAGCCCAAGCTTGACCTCTGAACCACTCTCTGGCTTCCTGTTTGGTCACATGATCTCTCTCACACATTGTCTTGCCATTACAGTGCCAGTCACCATGAGGCTCTCAACACGGTCGAGTCAATGTCACTGCCATGCCCTTGAACCTCCAGAACTAAGCTAAATAAATTTCTTTCCTTTATAAGTCACATAGCCTCTGATACTTCATTATAACAACCCCAAAGGGAATAGTACAGCTGTGTTCTTCAAACCGTATCACACTATAGCTGCCAGAAAGTACACATTCAATGAATGGTGGGTGCCAGCACCATTGTGCTTGTGCGTACTCACAAAGATAGAATAAAGCAAAACTTACATGTGAAAAAATATGTTTACAATTTTCCCCATGTAAAATAGCACTGCTATAAGTGTTCTTTTTTTCTTGCTTATTCTGGTGAACATTCTTTTAGATTCCTATTGGCTTAGATCTTGTATTTGTTTCAATGAAGGACTTTTGTGAGCCTTCTAATCCTACCCCCTCCCCCAAATCCAAGAGAAGTTAAGCAAGGAAACAACATAAAGTGCTCTAGTTTACAAACATTTAATTTCTTGGAACTCTTCCCTCATTCCTCATAACCAGAAAGTGACATTTATCAGAGAGAAGCCCTAGGAGGGCAGAGTCCCAGGATCAGCTCCTGCTATGAGTAACATCTTGGAAATGACAAGGGTGGGAGCAGCATGACTCAACAGAAAGAGCACTACATTGGCCGTGGGGCACCTAGTTTAAGGGTGAGGGTCCCTTCTCTTTACCTCTATATGAGCAAATCACTTCCCTGGCTTCAGCTTATTTTTTTATTTTTTTTTTTAGACAAAGTCTGGCTAAATTGCTAAACTGCCCAAGCTGGGTTCTGAGAAGGACTGGTAGGAGAAATTTAAAATCTTCCTGTCTCATCCTTCCAGAGAGCTGGGATGTGCACCACCATGCCTGGCCTCTGATTTCAGTTTCTCTCTCACTATTGAGGGTTCCAAGACTCTCCACACACCTCATTCTTGGCTGGGTCTGGAGTGTGTAGGAACTAGAAGACTCATGCAGCTTCTAGAGGATTCTCCACCTTCTTGTCTTGTCCTGGAACAGTTGGCTCACATGAGGCCCCTCTTGGCCACCACTGACTGGGAAATTCTCAACAGGAGATGAAATAAGGAAAAAGACAGTTGCATGCCATCTCGTTGACTAACAGTAGCTTTACTTCCTGCTGAGAGTCTGCCCTTTATCCTGTCTCATTCCTTAGAAACAGATGGTCTAATGGAATTTTCAGGGTTCAGAAGCATTATTTCTCAATGTGTGAATGAATACAGAAAAGTATGGATTCTAATCTCTGACTCTAACCCTTTGAGCTGATGACCTTAGGAATGATTCAGCTTTCCCAAACCTGTTTCCTTGTGGGTGAAATGGAGGTATTTGGGGCCCATGCCTCTGAGAGTGATGAAGGGAGATGATTTGCATAAAATCAGTATTCTGCTGACCAGCACAGTGCTGAAGCTGGGCGGATGTTGGCCAGTGGGATATTATTCTTCAGACACTGATAGAGTCCCACTCCATCCCCACTGTAGCCTTTCAGTAAGACAGGCAGAGGACTCCTTGTGGGATCCTTACTTTGGTTGGAAAGTAAACACCTTTTCCTGAATGCGAAACAACCAACACACATTCCTGAAGGCCTGTGATTTGAGTCATGGGAAGAGACATCAAAACTACTGTGTTGTTTATCTACAAGTCATTATGCAACATGTTTCCCACTATTTATAAATCTTCGTGTGCCTTCCCCTCCCAGCATTGCCTTTCCCCTACTTCAGCTCCTCCTTCAGTTCAGCTATTTCAGTTTTCGGTTGAGTGGTCTAGACAGGAACCAAAAAATGCATGGTCTGCATATGGGTCCCCCTCTGGGCCTCACAATTTTCCAAAAAGAGCACAGGGCATGGGACTGATTGACAGAGGAACTTTAATTCAACAAGACAATCTATCTCCACCTCATACCCCAGAGCCTGGCACCTAGTACTACTCAGTAAACTTTCAGAAAACAATACAAGAATTATCTTTAGATATTAGGCTCCCTGGCTTTTTAAAATTGGCTATACAGAATAATGGATCTCACTATGGCAGATTTGTACATGCACACAATATACTTTGATTATCTGCATCTTCTATCACTGTCTTCCCCCCTCCCAGTTTCACATTTTTTTGGTAGTGTGGTCAATGTGTATACAAAATTTGCTCATATCCATGACATTTTTAATTCTTAAGAAATATTCTGAACTATGGCCATCCTCTCGGCTCTCTTGGAATGAAATAGGAAGAGTGCAATCTGATTTGGATGGGCTTTTCCAGTTCTTGACATGGCTTTCCCACACATCTCCCCAGTAGTTAGCTGCAGCTACATAACTCAAAACCACATAATCTCAGTGGCAGAGATCAATAAACACTTATTCAGCGCGTAGGCTCATGGGCCAGCTAATCTCCCTCAGGATTAGAAAGTTAGTCTGAGCATGTCCTTTTCACAGTGATGGTGAATACTTAAAAGTATACAATCAACCACACAGACACTTTTCACCTCCCTGTACATTCTGTCCCCTAAGATGTGGCCAGAACACATCAGATGACCATACCAAAGGTCAAAAGTGAGTGCTTTTTATTTCTGTTAAAGCAACACATGAAAACTGGCTGTTGTAGCACCCCAACTCCTGGAGTTTGCATGTGAGAAACTGAGCTTCCAGCTATTGCTTAGCCTACAAAAGGCATAGGTGAAAAATAAACTTATGTTAAATCAGTGAGATTTCAGGGTTCTCTGTTATTGCAGGAAAACTTAACCTATAAGTGATAGATTAATAACTATTGAAATAAGGATTTGGATCCAATGCTGCCTTTCTTCAGTCATTAATACACAATACACTAATATACAACACTGGCCATTAGTAGCATCCACTGCACAGATGAGGTCAGATGTAAGAATATGGACAAAAGTGCTTTGTAACCTGTAAGCACTTTATAAACATTTTAGAAAAACAAGCGAGGTGGGTGATTTGGTGCATACCTCTAATCCCAGTACCCTGGGATGCTGATGCAAGAGGACTGCAAGTTTGAGTTCAACTTGAGCAGCTGAGTGACTTAGGGAGCCTCTGTCTCAAAATACAGAGTACTGAGGACGTAGCTCAGTGCAAAGGTCCTGCTTTCAATCTGCAATACAAAAAAAAAAAAAAGAGGAAAAAGAAACAGAGAAAGTCACAACCACAAGGTCCCGAGTTCGATCCCCGGTAACAAAAAAGAGGAAAAAAAGCAAGTGATAATATCAAACTGAATGATGTTGATCTTACCTTCTTGGCATGGCTAGGAGGTCTTCAGGGAAAGGTATTCTGTCCCCAAGTACTTTGAGACCTTAACTATTCCTAGCATATGCTCACCATATTATAGAGCTCTTTCCCCATTTTTAAAGAATTCATGTTGAATTATACTTAATGGATGACTCAGAGGATCAAGAAAATAGCTTTTTTATGCAATACCTCTTATTTAATGGTCTTCATAGTAATGGTAATTTCCCTGTTAAAACTTTGGAAGCAAAATTCCTTCCTTTTACATGAGACAAGATCCAGGAGATTTCTAGCTACCGGTGTTTAGCTCTTGAGGAAGGTATGAGCGAAAGAATTGGGGTCGGGATGGACTGTCGATGACCGCAGCATTGAAAGATGGAAATAAATTCTGAACACAATCACCATTGAAGCTGAGAAAGAGCCTATTAATGCCAAGTAATGAATTTTAAAAAGATACAGTTGTACTTAGGGTACTTAAACCTTGGAGGTTTAAATTAAATCATACCTGTCACATGCACACAACGTCCCTAATGAGATTATGTAACTATTTAATGTTCCTATCTGCATGGCTCAGTGTGGCCCTCCTCACAGCAGCTTCCCCCAGCCTTCTCTGCCACCATCATCCAGCCTCATAGAGCTACTTTGGTTTATAGAATGCACCATGCTCTCTAGGCCTCTTGCTGTCACATAGCATTTCCCTCTGTCTGCCTTCCCATCTTGCATTCCCTTTTCTACCCATTAATACCTAGTGGTCCTTTCAGGCTCAGCTCAAACATGTTCCCCAGTTTGGGAAACCTACCTGAACCATCTACAATTCCCTCAACCTAGTAGATTTTTCACTTTGCTTCTCTATCCTTCCATTCTTCTGGCCAACATTCCATAATGCTGGGTGGCCCATCTATTTATTCAACAAACACCTTGTAAATTTCATCATGTGACAGTCATGGAATCAGGTACCATGTACACTGAGATGAATAAGAAATTCTTATTATTTATGGGTTCGTTGACAGCAAGTTCACTTTTATACTCCTGAGCGTCATGCATTTGTATATAATCTTATATAAATCTATGATGTTGTTTATTTATATCTGTGTTCACACTCTACTCCTGTATTTATCAGGACTGTTTTGAATGGAAGTAATAGAAATACAATTCATACTAGTTTCGTCACAAAATGAAATATAATGACTCATGGATTTCAGGGAAGGTTGGCAATCCAAAGTGGAGGAAATGAAGGAAAGAGCCTAATTTAGAAAGAATAACAAATGGTGAATTTGAATGTCATTTAGAATCTCTCTCTATTTTATTTTTAAACTTCTTGTTGCCTGTTCATTTAATTTTCACTATCTATTTCTTGGCTTCCTTGTCTGCAGCCAAGAACATCTAGGTTTTATATCTTACAGCTCTTATCACTTATGATAGACAGCTGATCTTTTCAATACAGACTACTAAGTTCTACAGAAAGGTCTGAGTGAATATACTTGGACCATTTGCCAAATGCTAGTGCTACCCAGAGCTACTGGAAAAATTAGAGAAAGGTGATTGGCTAGGATGTCTCAGGTGTCCATGCCCAAATGACCAACCAACACTTGAGAAGTAAAGTAGTAGTTTTCCAAAGAAAAATGAGAAAGTAGTCGCTACATTTATGCCACTGATCCTGTCACTCATTCCACACCCTTTGAATTAGAGTGGTGTCAGAATGGACTAGGAAGAAAAGTAAATAATACGCAATTGCTTTCTGATCATCTGAGAGGAGAAGCTAAAGAGGTAATTTGGAACAGTAATTAGAAGCTTGGGGTTTGAAGACAAAATCTCAGAGCGAAAAAATCCCATCTATAGAACTTATATGACCATGATCTTGGCCCTCTCTGATCAGTCTTCTCGTCCATAAAATGGGGATAATGTGCACATCTATTTCAGCGAACAGCTTCAAGAGTTAATGAACCACATGAAAACTATGTACCATGTGCCTGGTATGGAGTAAGTGTTCAACAAAATATTAGCTTTTGTTCATCATCATAAGCCAGGGCTGAAGGGATGATGTTTTGAACTGACAATGCATAAAAATAAAGATGCAAAAGAACTCAGAAAATTCACACTGACCATGGGATTCAGAGAAGCCACTGTAGAGGAAGAAGCATTTTGTTTAATCTTTAGCACAGGAGAAGGGAAGGGAAAGAAAGAGAAGTGAGAAGGGGGAAAGGGAGAGGAAGAGGAAGAGAAAGGAAGGGAGAGAGGGGTGAATAGAGGGAGAGAGCAAAGGACAGAGGAAGATAGACAGCTTAGGAAGAGGAAATAGCATGGACTAAAATAAAGAGACATGAAATGAAAAGTACAATCCTGAAGATTCAGAAATTTTGATTTGTGCAGGGTTTCTACAGCCCCAATTGATGGTAGGAGATGTGGCTATAAAGGGAGTTTTCACTGGGACTGTTAAGGAATCAAATACCAAGCCAAGGGATTTGGACTTTATTCAATAGATGGTGGAGAGTCAGTGGAGGTTTTGGAACTAAGAACTGAGTGACAAGGTGTAACACACATTAGTTATAGAATAAAGACTTTTATTAGGGCCTCCGTGGCTAGAAAAATAAATTAGAACTCACTTTCAGTCTCTTTTATCATCCTATTTTTGTTAGAAAAATGTTTTCTATTATTAGGAAACAGTCTCTTAAAGACTATTCTAATGGGCAACCAGGGCTCAGTCTCAGGATGGGGGAGACCAAGGAAGAGAAGGGGCTCTGGGCCTGTCAAAAGGATAAAATTTCAGATTCCTTCAATAGTCAACATGCAAGAAGGGCTCAGGCCCTGCATTAACAAATATTTAATGCTCCTAGTAAAGCTTAAAATCTAAATTTTTATATAAAATTCCTGTTTATTTTTGTTGTTGCTGCACTCTCTAGGCTGAAATAAAGTTTATGGACTAAATTTGTCATAAAATCCATTGAGTTGAGACCCCTGCATTCCAGTTGATCCAGAATAGTCATCAGCCCAGATTTTTGGCACTTTTATCCCTTGATCAGTCCACAATATCTGTTGAAGGATTCAGAAATGAAAATGAAGAGTATAACACAGGAAAGAAGTATTCCCAGTAGGTCAAAGAAGAGATTTTTATGACCTAAATATTTTAAATCTAAAATAAATAAATAAAAATTAAAAGCTAGTTATAGCAAGCAAACAAATAGAAGCTATAAAGAGAACTCTAGAACGACTATTGATAGATTATTCACACTTATACCATATACTAGGACTTGTTTCCAAATTCTAGTTGATATTTTCTCTAACATTACTTTTTAAAATACCAGGGTCCAATACAAAGGAAAGAAATCAAGCTTTGCAGTTTGAGAAACCTGAGTTAAAATAACTAGTTTTCAGAAGAACATTTATTAGCATACTGCTTCCAGCAGTTTCAATCATTTGTCTATTGCTAAATAAAGTATAACAAACAACTATAAGCAGTCAGCATCCTGCCACAGCAATCATTTTCTGCCTATGTACTCATGGGGTTCAGCAGACCTTGGCTGGCCTTGCTCGTGTTTTGTCATGTTATTCTGTCCCACATCTTTCAGCTTCCTCCTTGCACATGGGAATATGTGCCCATGTCCTCCTAACTGTGATGACAGAGCTTCAGGAGAATAGGTATAAATATGCAAGACTTTTTGACCTTGACATATCTGGTATATCATCGCTTCTTTTTATTAACCAAACTAAGCCACTTGGCAGAGGGTGTGGCTATGGAGACGTGTGAAGAATTTTTGCAATCTAGCTCACAAAGCAAAACTGGAAACAGATCAGATATCAACAAACTGTGAATGGCGAAATCAATCAAGGTACAGTCCCAAAGTGAAATCCACTGCGAAAGTGAAGAAGATGAATGCACCACCCTATCCCTCAGAAACAAAGATCAACTTTACAAACCTAAAATAGGAAAAAGGAGGAAAACAGATAAATAAGTGCAAGCACAGTATCTATTTATTGTTATGTATTCAAAGGGATGCAAAACCAAAATATCTTGGTTATGAATACTCAGCTAGCTAGTGAAATCATAAATTAAATGAAGAAAATGACTATTTGAAAAGCCAAAATAGTGGCTCTGTCAACTTTGGATGTCCTCATTAGAAAAGAAAAAGGGAAATGGAGATTCTACATCTTGAACTAACATAACTACTCAAGTAGCTGCTTTGTAGTTCTTTGTTAAGCTGTGTATTTTTTTTCTAGGTATTTCTCTGTATGAAGGTTCTACTTCACTCTAGGTAGCTTTTTGAAGTTCAGCTTTAGATCAAGATAAAAAAAGTAAAGGTTATGGGTGAAAAATGTCTAGTTTAGCTATTTAGCCATGAAATGATTGGAAGGAGGAGGTACTTCACCTCTGAACATCTGTTTCTTCTTTGCTAACAGTAGGGTGAAAATCACCCCATGAAGGCTTGAACGGAGAAGTAGAGAATAAGGTGCCAAGGAGATGGACTCTTCAATATTAATAAACTACAGTTGATGCAGAGAAGGGAAAGAGAAGTCTCTGACATCAAAAGGAGAGGAGGACTATATTTCTCGGTCTTGCTCCCCAACTTGTGGTTTATATTTTCTCATTTTTTTCAAGGGAAAAGTAAAGTTGTGGAGGGAACTACACCTAAACTTATATGATCTCAAAGTAACTCATGGAGGAGGGAAGAAGGGCCAAATCAGCACAAAATACCCCAATTCCCAACATGAGCCACAAGACAGTGAGGGAGCCCCATGATGTATCTGGAAGGCCATGTGAGTACCAAGTCCTTCAGTGATTTCTCAAGCACACAGCTGCCACAGGACGAAAGGGAGGCTGCCAGCTCCTCACTGCATGAATTAGACCCATCACAGTGGTCATCTATACTGGGGAC